ATTTTTACAGTTTTATTTATATCCATTTAAAAAATTTAAAGCTATGCTAACTTTCTTGGAACGCCCTTTTGCTTTTCGTTTGCCTAATGGTTGAATACGTGTTTTATCGCTAACTTGATACAAGTTAAATAAAATTGCTAATCCAACAGAATGTTTACACGAATATACTAATAATAATACAACAAGCGAACAGGATTGTTGCCACACCAGAAAATCATTGAATGTATTATTGGCTAGGTATTTATCCTTCTCGTCGGTGGGGTATATTCAATGATTTTCTGGTGTGGCAACAATCCTGTTCGCTTGTTGTATTATTATTAGTATATTCATGTAAACATTCTGTTGGATTAGCAATTTTATTTAACTTGTATCAAGTTAGCGATAAAACACGTATTATACGTCCATTAGGCAAACGAAAAGCAAAAGGGCGTTCCAAGAAAGTTAGCACAGCTTTAAATTGTTTAATGGATATAAATAAAACTGTAAAATATTGTTCGTTTGGTTAAAATCTCAATGAATATGTTTGTGTTGTACATTGTACTTTGTTGAGGAATAAAAATGTGAAATGCATGCTGAAAAATTTCATGATCAAAAGTATCCTTTTTTGGTGATCATTTGTATCTAAAGCTGTCTGGTGATCAAACGTATCTTTTTTTGGTGATCAAAAACATTGATATCCATCTTTCTTTGTAGAGATGCGGAAGTGAAACAAGAAGACGAAAATAGATTTTTTCTAGATATCTAGCTAAAAATTTATCATATGGAAAGATTTTTCTTTGGATTTTTGTATCATCGATATGTAAAGCATGCTCAATTATCCATGTGTCAGCCATTTACGAAGTTTCAAAAGTTATCAATGCCCATCACCCTCACAGAGGGCATCCAGGCGGACATTTAGTGAAAAATCGAAATTGCGGTTTTTTTAAAATTAAAATAGTGGCAAATATACCTTGTTAGATAGGCTACCGAATGGCGTAAAATTTTTTGTTTCAAACGAGGAATTTGCCGGTAAAAAATGTTGATGAAAAAATACCTCGTATATCCGTGACCTCTACGAAAAATCAAGTTTTTGTTAGTTAAAAACAATTGTTGTTTAAAAAAAAAAGACTTTTTTATTGAACTGAATTGAATGTCGAATGATGTATAATTTATTAGTTTTACAAATAAGGCTTTTGCCGACTAGTATTCACGGCAAGATCTTGTAATTATCTTATAATTATTATATTTTTTCGTGATATTTTTTGGGCTCAAAATGAGATAATAATTTAATTTTAGTACCGATGAATACATAACCTTTTTAAGATAAATACGCCTGGAGAGAGGTAGAAAAACAGGTCAAAATCAAGGCGTTTTGAGTATAAAACTTTAACACGTTCTCCTTTGGAGATACTGGAGAAGTTTCACAAAAGAAACATCGGAGTTTCGGTTATCAATTGATGAACGTCGCAGTTCTCTATTGTTTTCCGTTCAAACGTTCCGCTCAAGAAGATAGACGATTACATTCTATTTTGGATTGGATAGTGATTCCTCTCGTTTTTATAATCAGTTGTAAACAGGATTTGATCATTGTTTAGGCAAATATATTAAGATTGCTCGATCTTCTTTGGAAGATATTCCCGAAATATGTGTATTGCATGTACATTTTTTCTTTTTGTTTGAAAAGCTATTCTATTCTGTTAATCAATGTATGGTCGATATTCACGTACTATGAAAATATGTTATACATCTCTCTTCATTTGTATTCTTCGATTATCATCATACATACAAACAAGCGAGTTAGATAAGAACCGTAGCATTTTTATTAAATGTTCGTGATAACTTATACTAAACAAATACTTAAAATACAATCTAAATATAGCATACATTTTCGTATTAACATGTTTTTTCTCATAAGTATTGATATTGTTAAAGCATTTTTGGTTTAATAGAACACATATTTCACTTGTTCATTGAGGTGAGAAAGCATCAAGGACTTTATTCAGTGGTATTTTTGACAGTAGTCAAAATAACATCAAAATCATTTATTCTTATCTGCAAATGTCATCAGATGTAGAGTAAATATATTTTTACCTTTATTAAGAAGCACTTGGTGACTCGAATATAGATATAGTTATTGTCGCTGGTAACCCATGATCTAGACTTTTTGTTTCGAAAGGTTTACTTAAACAGAAAATCAACTCATGGAATTCGGCGCTCAATTAAGCGTATTTGTTGACCTTTAATTTATTTTTATGTGAGAGAAATCCCAAAAAAATTGTTAAACGAACCGCCAGACAAAATAGAAAAAATCAATGACAAATACATGCATAAAAAAAATACCTTGTCTGTTTGTTTTTCGATATCCAAATTGTATTCTCTATAATGCAAAAATACACAAACAGACACTTGTATATTACTGCATTACTACAGAAAGAAAAATAACAAACAAACAAATTAAAAAAAAACCAAGCAACGAACCACGAGGAAGAGTAAAAAATACTTGTTCTGTTTAACGAATGAAGAACGAATTCAAAATCAATACCCTGAAAAAAATTTAAATAAGCAGAAATAAAAGATAAATATCAAAACTACATTATCTGTTTATTTGTTCATCAACAACAGATACAGATGCACACATAGACATCGTTGTTAAAGCTTTTGGAGCAAATTCGACACTTCGTATTCAAAAGCAAGACAAGTTTTGAGAGTTTAAAATATCATGTTTTGTTTTCATGTTCATGCATAGAAATAGAAAAACCAAGCAAAAAAATAATAATATTAATATGATGCCTAGGGAAAGAAGAGGGAAAGAGAAAGAATATCAAAGAAAACTCATTCTCATGTATGATTTACGCTATGACGTTGTTCAAATAAGTATACTAGGTAAAATTGAATCTTCAAGATCTTCCCATGGTAACATTTCATCTTCAACTTCATTTCCACATTCACTATTCATACGATATTTCAAAGCACGCGTATATTGGACTGGTCTTTGTTCAAATGCTTGTTTAACATTATCCCTGAGAATAATTGTAATTAAAAATAATAGAGATATAGAGAGAAAAAGAAAAAATGACAATAAAATTATCAATCGGCTCAGACTTCCAAAGAAGGCATTCTTTTAGCTTACATCTAGACATTCAAGTGGAAACTGCGTAGTGGATTAACATTCATCACTGCCAATTGTTAAGTTAGATTCGAACCTCAGCACTTCTGTTTGACGAGCAAACATGGTAATGACTACACTAAACTTACCAGAATGGTTTAGCCATAAAATACAATGGTTTTCCGAATGGTATACCATTAAATTGTACAGCACCTGATATTGTATAAGCACCCATATTTTTCCAAATTATCCAATCATCAGTTGTTAATTTTGGTAAACACGTTGAGGACGTTATACAATCAAGACCATCACATGTTGGACCCCATATACTACATGTATACTGTTTACCAGATATATCCTGAACATTAAAGAGAAATAAATAGGACTATTTGAAAATAATATCCATACTTCGGATTTTTATAAGGAAAACGTTCTCTGTTTCGCATAATAATGCGTCATGCTAACTTTCTGGCCAGATTTGCAGTGATAACTAGTAACGAACGTTATCGGTGAACATGTTGGAAGCTTGTCAGCTATAGAGAAGGTATAAAACTGTTAAAACTGACACTTGCCTACACTCTACACCAGTAATGACAGCTGTAAGGTGAGATATTTTTTCTCCTACCTTTTTCCTTTACATAACTCTGAGTATTGTTACAAATTCGATATCTTAAACTGTTCAGAGTAGTCATTTCAACACTCAACTCATTCATCACACAGTGCCTAAACATTCACAGACTACTAAATATAGTTTCTAATCTGTCAGCAGTCACATACATGCTTCCTCGCAAACCAATTCCAAAACAACTTTAGCTGCTCAAAGAGACGTTTGGCCACCGATAAACGATAAAAAAGGTAAAGTTTAACTCCAATTTACTAAAATTTCCTCTCTAATAAAAACCGTTCTAGATTAGCAGCAGAAAACTAAGTCTGACAATAAAGATTGTTTATTTCAACGTTTTAATCCAATACCTTTTTTAATGGAGTCGGCTCTGGAATATAATGATCGTACAATACACAGTTGAACGAACCATAAACACCGTCATTAACATAATACATTAATTTTTTTTCATTAGTAGCTGAAATAAGACAAAAATATGAAATCATGAAGCAGTTTTCCAGTATTTTATACAAACCTGGATCAGTCATTTCGCGCGTTGCAATAATGTTTGTTGCTAGTGTATATGCCGATGCAACATAATAGCGCCCAGGTTCAGCGATAATACGAACTCCAGATTGCACAGGAAAATGTTCATCCAATGCTCTGTTGATTGCCACAGCTATTTCTGTAAAATATTCATCTGTTCCAGTGTTCCCAGGGAAACCACCACCGATGTCTAGTAATTTCATATCAAAACCCAATTTATCACCATAACTCATTATTGATCGTGCATTTTTAATTGCATCTACAAATGCTTGACTTGTCATTTGTCCGCTCCCACAGTGAAAACTAGATGAACACGAAAAAAGGTTATAATTTAATTTTACATTTTAGTTGCTAGAGAGTCAACAGAACTCATTTCTGAAAGAATCAAAAGAAGATACCACGACCGGTGTCGGTCTTTCTTAAGCAACTTGTCAGGTGATTTTCTTCGAGAAAGACAGAGTTAAGGCATGTCAAGTAACACAATTCCGTCCACACCGTCTGAGGGTGATACCATTCTTTGTCAGAATGATAGCCATACGGAACACGATAGCGATCGCCACTGCACATATTCTGCTTCTCTCCCATAAAGTATTTCCTTTCATTCTATCAGAAATAATTCATCCTTTAACATAAACTGTATCTAGTAACATGTGCTCAACAGACGTTGAGATAAATGTGAAAAGCAGCATGGTTATGACTCGATCTTGGGAGGTGATCATCCATCCTCTTCCTAATCACAGTTTTGACACAATAAAAGTTTTGATATAATAAAAGTCCTTACGTCACAATTCTATTTTATAGTGACTAACTCCATAATGATGCATAGTTTGAACCTCAAAAGTGGCTACCCATGAGGGCCATATGAATGCGTTCTCATCCGAATCGGTTCGTATTTTAGTGCGTCTCATTTGAGTATGTTTTCAATTACAACACTCATTCTTAAAAATATTTGGAACTTTTAAATCGTTTCTGTCACTATTAATTCTTAGCGGCTAGTAATCTCTTATTTTAATTTCAAAAATAATCTAACTTACAATACTTTCGAACAGCTCTATCGTCAACATACTCTTGTTGCAAACCGATATTTTGAAGATTAGGGTATAATATATAATTGAAATCGAAAGGTTTATCTTATCTGAAGTTTGTAAGCCTGCGTTCAATTCTATAACCATAGCCTTGAAATTCAGCTGCTATGTTACCACGATCTGTTTCGGATTTTTCAACTATAGCCATATTTCTTGACTCAAAACAAAAGATTAGGCGGTGCAAAAAGAGACGGTGACTGCTATACGAGTTTTGTTGAACGCATTTTAAATGAAAAATATTTACTCTCCTTTTGTTTGGAATTCAAATCCGGTACATATATCTGTGAACGAAGAACTTTTCTTTTAATATGCGTTCAACAGAACTCGTATAGCAGTTACCGTCTCTTTTTACATCGCCCAATATTTTGTTTTGAGTCAAGAAATCTGGCTAAAGTTGAAATATTCGAAACAGATCGTGGTAAACCAACAGTTCAATTTCAAGGATATGGTTATAGAACTGAACGTCATCGAAAAGAATCGAACTAAGGGAAATGTCGAGAATTTGGTTATCTCGGTCGTTTTTACACTCTTAAAGAGGGATATCAGATTGAAAACAAAACTCAAAACAATAAATTTAAAATCAGAAAACAGAAGACATTAGTACAAAAAAGAGCAGAAACAGGGCAGAAACATGGGCTTCGTTTGTTGTTTAGTACTACAGAACTTCATGCTGATAGCAACTTTAAAGGTGCACCGACGTCAGAAGCAGGTGGGACGCGATTCAAAACGAGTTTCCATTATCGGAGGTAAGAGGCTGCAATTTCCATTTCAATCAGGCATTGTATCGTAACCGTCAAAATACTGGTTTGCAGCCTTGATGCTAAAGCTGTTCGAAAATATTGTAAGTTAGATTGCGTTTCTTCTTGCTTGAGAACTTTTCAACAGTATGTTTTCTGAAATAGTTTGTATGATACCAGGTATTTCATTTCTACCAACACATTTAGTACAACCATCTATGATGAAGTAGTTGATTCGACACCATTACGAATACAACATAAAATGCAACCGTTTTATCATTATTTTTCAAACACCTGGTTAAATGGGCGGTATGATATTGAAGTATAGAATGTTTTTGGTCAAGATAGCCGAACAAATTGAAACATGGCATTCTAAACTGTCACGTATACTACAAATCACGTTTGGGGAGTCCGAGTCCGGACTGGAAGATTTTCTGGCGGACTCGGACTCGAGATTTTTGTATTTCGAGTCCGATCTATTCAACTTTTAACACAAATGAGTAGAGAAAAATGAAAAGCGAAATAACAACACCTACTGTTTCACATGAAACTGAAAATTTTGTTTGGGAGACGGACATGGAACATAACCTTATTTTCGAAAAATCAAATATCTATCCAGGACTCAACAAATTAAAATATAAACCAACCTCATCAAAAAAGAATCTACAAGATTACCGGACTCGAAATGGACTCGGACTCGCCCATGCCTGCTACAAACACAACCGACTGTATGGCGATTGTTTGAAATACTTCAAGCACAATATGTCTTAGTTCAACATGATATTGAACGTTTACGTACTGGGACACGGTCGAAAAAAATTAATATATCAAAGACTCAACACAATGGTACAACGTCTAACAGATGATTTTAATCTAGGTCTAGTCTAACTCAACCATTAGATTACGCTTTTCTGCTACTAAACGTGCATAGCAGTTCTTCTTAAAATGAAATTGCATTGTCAAAATAATGTTCACAAGCTTTTTAAAATTAAAATAAAAAATTACTAGCCACTAAGAATTAATATGAAACAGTGATGACAGAAACGGTTCAAAAGTTTCAAAATATTTTCAAAAATGAGTGGTGTAAGTAAAAACGCACCCAAAGACGTGTTAAAATAAGATGCCCTTAAATGAGAATGCGCTCAAATGAGAACGTACCCAAATGAAGCCCCACCGAATCCATGACACTTTGATTACGCTGCTATTAAATTCTTAAACAATTTTATTCTCTACGAGATTTTCTCTTAGTACTAACCTAACACCAATAACGTCTAGTTCAATTTCTTTTGCTTTTTCTAATAAGAAACGCGCTGTTTCCAAATCAGCACCAAATTTCATTGAAAATTGACAAACAGCACTTGAATCGTCTGTTACAATTCGAAGAACCACTCTAAATTGAAAGATATATAATAATAATAAACGGTTCGGCTTCTTTTCAATAAATAGTTACTTGGCATCAGAATAATTTTCTTTTATTTTCATTAATTCTTGTTCATTATCAAATGTCATTGTTTCAACGCCCACCTGTTTTGCATAACGGACATAGGACGATTGTTTACATGGATTAGCGTAGATAATACGATCAGACGAAATGCCCAGGTCAATAATTTTCTTTATTTCAGTCTAAAAAAATAACCGTCAAAACAATGCAGGCAATAAAAAGTAAAGTATATAATCTTCTGGAGTCCAGTAAAAAGATAATGAAAACAAAAGAATAAAAAGAACACGATCAGTCTTACTTTACTAGCACAATCAAAGCCAGCTCCGAGAAATCCAAGTAATTTTAAAACCAGTATATCATCGTTGCATTTTACCGCTAAAATAGAAATTTAAGTTAGTAAACATTATAGTTGCAATATAACTGAACAATTCTAAAGAAGCTAAGATTAAAAACTCTTCAAGTTCTCTCATAAAGAAGCGCGAAACGTATAAGTACATAAATAATCGATACGAGTTCAAGAACGATAACAGCAACACGCAGAGAATACGATCGACGTTCCTTTAATAATCAAAGATATTACTTACCATAGTGTGGTGTAACTCTTGGCATTGCTGTTAACCAACGAACATGTTTGTTGCATATATCTTCCAAATCAACAGCATAAAATGGATCGCAATCTTTTGTCTGAAATGTACAATAATCACGTCTTTTAACTGTCATCTCTTAGGTTCTATTATATTTAAACCATTGTAATCAACAAGCATACAATTTACTTACAAATAATTCGATTTTTTTTCGAATAAATTCTTCTGCTTTGAATGCAGCTTTTGTAATAATAATTGGACAATCTTTAATAAGATGCATATTGATAATACTCAATCAAAACTTGTGTCACAGTGAATACGAAGTGTCGAATAACTATAACAGAAATTAACAATAACAATAGAGGAATTCTAGTATAATCATATACTTATTGTATAAGAATACTTACAAATAGAGGATAAGGAGTTTTTCAGTTAACCAAGTTAATACAGAACTTGCCACGGAGGTTTTGGTTGAAGATAATAATTTACTTCACAACAAAACAGGCAGAAGGTCAAAACGCCCTTAATAAAAAGAGAGGTAAACATGAATATGTAAATATAATTAAGTAAAGAGATAGACCAAGGCCATCCGTTTTATAACATGAGTTTACTTTATATGGCTCCAGCACTATATGCATTAGTTTTACTAGTTGACAGCAGTTTGTTACGATGCTTCTACTGTAGTCAACACTTTCATTTTACGAGAACTTAAAGCACTTTAGCGTGAACGACATAAGGTTAAACAACCACACACACTTATTATTTCTCAAACTTACCTGCTCGGAAGCGTCCCACCCCTTTGAATTTTTGAACTGTTTGAGAAAAATTTTCAAAACTTCTGTAAGAAAGTTTTAAGAAATGTATAGCGAGAAGGGGAATAAAGCAAAAAAAGGCAATGTATCTATAGAATGTAGTGATATAATATAACCTTCAGTAATTTAGATAGAATAGAAAGAAATATTGCTCTATGGTCGTAATAATATACTATACAGAAATAGACCATCACACGTTGAGGGTGATGGAATTTGCTGGTAACGATAAAGAACAACGCAATTAGAAATGACTCAAGTTATGCTGTAATTTATAGCTCGCTCTTAACTATAACTACCAGATCTAAATAAATGTTTATTTATTTATTAAAATTAATCGATTTTTCAATGTGTCAATGTGAGTGTGTATAATAACGAAACGCTTATACGGACAACCGTAAACGATTCCTACTAAAAATGCACATGAGTAACACTAATGGAAACTTTTAACCAATCAAATGGGTCCATTCACCTTTCAATTTGTTAAAAATAATAAATAAAAGAATTCGGCACATGTTGAGCCGAATTCTTTTATTACAATCAAGTCATTATAAACTTGCTAAATTTTTCCCGTAATGACACTAAGAGTTTTTGCCAAGTTTTACTGTGGCACTATAGCAGTTCTTCGAAATTAAAAAGTTTTCTTGTACGATTCTTTTGCTTATAACTGAATCTTTAGTTTGTGACCATTTTCGTGTGGAAAACTTTTGTTCGCGAATGTGATAATTGAAAACGTGGAGGTGTAATTGAAAATGCACCCAAAGACGTGTTAAAATAAGATGCCCTTAAATGAGAATGCGCTCAAATGAGGACGTGCCCAAATGAAGCCCCACCGAATCCATGACATTTTGATTACGCTGCTATTAAATTCTTAAACAATTTTATTCTCTACGAGATTTTCTCTTAGTACTAACCTAACACCAATAACGTCTAGTTCAATTTCTTTTGCTTTTTCTAATAAGAAACGCGCTGTTTCCAAATCAGCACCAAATTTCATTGAAAATTGACAAACAGCACTTGAATCGTCTGTTACAATTCGAAGAACAACTCTAAATTGAAAGATATATAACAATAATAAACGGTTCGGCTTCTTTTCAATAAATACTTGGCATTACTATAGCAGTATTTTTTAAAACTTAGCAGTGCTACCGCACTGAAGCTGAACGTTGGTAATAATAAGTTTTTACTGTTATCTTTTTAGGTTTTATTTCACTGTGCTGCGAACTGTAGTTGAGAGATTTTCATTTGAGCACTGAACATGTTTACTGGCTTGTATTTTAATGCTTCAGATCATCTAAAGTCATTGTGATAATGACTGAAAAAAGACCGGCATTTGGAAACAGATTTTTATCGGATGCAAATGATGTATTTTCATACAACGCTTGGTACGAACAAATAAGTTTTTTTGACAAACAATATCTAGTATAAGTTTTGTTTTTTTATGTAAGGGATAATGCTATATGGACAGATGAACAAAATGAAGAAGCAAACGATGTTGTCGAACGCCAATATAAGAATAAAATGTCAGATGAAAAGTCAGGTAAGCATTTTACAAATGTGACAATTATCCAGTGAAAATAAATTGTGAGTCGAGAATGTTTTTTTTTCTGTATTAGTTGAATATTCTTCAGCATCAGCAGCTAGTTTTTTGTATATAGAATCCAAGAGTCGTGGGGACGAGATGGGACGAAAACTTCCTCTTATGGAAGATAATTTTCATTCCATGTGATTCTGTGTGATCACATTAAATTTTTTCTCAGAAACTATTTTCTTACGAAGCAAAATCTTTTCTCGCTCTGTTGCAGATAGTATGTTTCGGTTTTTTTCCAGTTTTTCTATTCAGTTAAATCTATTATACAGGTTTTTCATTTTTAAAATGTTCAAGTACCATAGTTGATACATAGGTTTTTTTACAGTCACTAAAACTGATAAAACCTTCAATGCCCTCGAATTCATTGTTATCATTTTTCTTTGCGAAGTGTCTGAAAATCTTCCAACAAGGTGCTTTCAAACTTTTTGTGTCATTTTCGATTGTTTTGAATATAAATGTTTTCGTGTTCCAAGAGATGTATTATTTTCTCAGGATTATAAGATGGTGGATGAGAAATTTAAGATAAAACTTGTGTGATAGACATACGTCACTCAAACTTCAACCGCAAAAAGCCAGTATTTTGTAGCCTATAAAATTTTTTTTATTCTGTCCGGTACCATCTCATGAATACTTTAAGAAATTTTGTATTGTCTCTTAAGATCTCATGAGATTGTGTGGGACCTGAAATGATTTCCGTTCCATGATAAACGCTGGAGAAATGTTCTAATGGATGATGGATTTAGATTTATGTTGTAATCTAAATCCAACTAAAACAAAACGAATGATTTTTGATTTTAGAGAAGGTGAAAGACAACTTAGCAAATTCATGGAATGATTTCTATACGATACATGAAAATAAATTTTTTAAAGATCGTCAATGGTTATTTACAGAATTTTCTGAATTATTAATGAAATCGCATGAACAATTTTCTATGTTAGAAGTTGGATGTGGTGTGGGTAATTGTGTATTTCCCATTCTAAGAACAAATGATAAATCTAAAACAAATTTATTTATTTATTGTTGTGATTATTCGTCGGAAGCAATTGATTTGTTATGTAAAAATGATGAGTATGATAGTCAGCGTTGTAAAGCATTTGTCTGTGACTTGACAGATGAACAATCTAATATCAAAATGCCATTTGAAGAAAATTCTCTAGATGCTATATTAATGATTTTTGTATTGAGCGCCATCCATCCATCAAAATTTGAATTTGTTATTAGAAATTTATTCAAATATTTGAAACCAAATGGAAAATTATTGTTTCGCGATTATGGACTCTATGATTTAGCTCAATTACGTTTTAAAAATGATAAATGTCTAGAAAAAAATTTATATGCAAGACAAGATGGAACATTGGTCTATTTTTTTACTCAAGGTAAAATTCTATAAATAAACATATAGAAAACTTAATTACAAATTATTTTTTCTTATTTTAGATGAACTTGACTCATTATTTGTTAAATGTGGATTTATTAAAGAACAAAATATAATTGATCGACGTTTACAAGTGAATCGTTCAACAAAACAAAAAATGTACCGTGTTTGGATACAGTGCAAATATGTTAAACAATAAAAAATATTTGTCCATTATCCTACATCTTTTATCTATTATCGTGTATAATGTAAAAATGCAATGCCTTTTTGCTACTATAGATACACAGAGTTTGATTTTTGTTTTGTTTGGAATGTTGATCTAAGCTGAAATTTTATCTACGTTGTCAGTTATTTGCTTCGAACGATACAAAATTTGTTCGATCATATCTCCTCTGGTAAATCTGATGATTTTATCTGATGCATTCATTTCAGAAGCAAACATGGCTTATATTAAGTAATGATCGTATTGTTGACTATTTTTTCTCTGTTCTGTTTTCTAAGTGTTGTGCATAAATATTTCCTGCTTTCCGTGAGCGTTTAGATAAACTGTTTATTTTTTATTTTATAGATGTAAGATTGATTAATTATGGCGAATAACGATGCATTATCATCGTCTCTTTTATCAGAGGATCATGAATTAGAAAATTTTTATGGATGTTACTTATTGCAAACATTAAATCCCAAATGTAAAGGACGAACATACATTGGTTTTACTGTTGATCCCAATCGACGTTTTAAACAACACAATCTTGGTCTTCATTTTGGTGGTGCCAAAAAAACAAGTGGCAAAGGACCATGGTAAAAATAGATTTAAAAAGTACAAATGAGGCTATTTGAATGAGAAGAAAAGAGTAAAGTATATTATTTTAGTAAACATTGTTTAATGGATCTAAATTTTCTATTTAGGGAAATGGTGTTAATTGTGCATGGCTTTCCAAATGAAATATCAGCATTAAGAGTAAGTAAAGTTAAAACTACTTGTAAATTTCTTAATTGAAGCTTATTCAGTTTGAGATTCGCAATTGTGTCTCACTAGTCGTCTGTCTTACTTAGGGTGAAAAACAAAAATTAAGGGATTTCTATAATAGAAAAGTTAGATTGAACTAATCAGAATCTTAATTGGTAAAAATAGACTAGAAATCGAATTGTTAGTAATTAGTTGCATGCACTTACACGCCACATCTGTGTGTCAAACAGTCATATACACCTGGCTCAATAGAATTCTCTTCTTTATTTTCATATAAGCTTGTTCTTTTATAGTAGATGTTAGGATTAGTATGGTAGCAACTTGATTTTATAACCAGTTGCTGGAACACTACAACATTAAAGACCGTCTCAAGTTTCGATGTTCCGAAACAGTCGTTGTAGCACTTGGCTAATGAGCTGCGATTATCTTCACTTTGATGTTAAGTGCATATAAGTAATTACTAACAACTCGATTTGTAGCTATAATACACTGTAATGTTGAATTATTTTCAAATTTTATAGAAAATGTTGATTTTTAGACCTGAAAATCGAGTCGATTTTTTAGAAATTTGATTTTCAAGAATCTTGAAAATCAAAGAGGATTTTCAGATTTATAGAAAATGGATCGATTTTCTATAAATAATTTCCACGATTGATTTACATACTCATTCACCTTTTTGTTTTTCAAAGATAGGTTGGCTAATAAATAATGTCGGATTTTTTTCTTTCTTAATAAATCTGTTTAATAAACGTCTTCTTTAGTTGACCTTATACTTGTTTGAAAGCTCATGTCTTGCTGATTATTTTGATGTATTATACGTTGAAGCTAACTTGTAAATTGTGCAATTTTTTTATTCGGATGAACATGGATGTTGAAAAGTGTCCTATCAGACATTCATGCTTTACGAATTTCGTCCAGGCAATAATGCCACAAAAGCGACGCAGGCAATTTGTTCTGTCTACAGAGATGCTGCCCTTAATGAACGCACGTGCCAGAGATGGTTTGTCAAGTTCCGAGCTGAAAATGTCGGCCTCAATGATGAAGAACGCCCTGGAAGGCCAACGCAGATGATGTCGACGATTTGCAAGCTTTGCTCGACAAAGACCAGCGGCAATCATCAAGAGAAATGGCTAAATACTCGGCACTGTTTACCAAACGATTCTGAACCACTTGCATGCTATGGGCAAAATTTTGAAAGAGGGAGCGTGGGTCCCGCACAAACTGTTTGAAGTCAACGTTATGCAACGTTTGAACACATGCGTTTTTCTTGCCGCCAAACAACAAAAGTAGAGTTTGTTGTGGAAAATCGTTACCGGAGATCAAAAATGGATTTAATACGAGAACCCGAGTAAGAAAAACCAATGGTTGGATCGCGGCGAGCCAGCCATTCCGACGCCGAAGCCCAACTACCACGGCAAAAAGGTTGTGCTTTGTGTTTGGTGGGACAGCAAGGGAATTCTCTATTACGAACTTTCGGAACCCGGTGAAACAGTTAATGCGGAGCGCTATGCCCAACAACTGAAGCGTTTGAACGAGGCAATCACCGAGAAACGGCTATTTCACGGGAAGCGAAAGCGAAGGATCATTTTGCTCCATGACAACGCTAGGTCACATGTTGCAAAATGGACTCGGAAAACAATAATGGATTTGGGGTGGGAAGTGTTACCCCACCCAGCCTATTCGCCTTACCTGGCTCCTTCTGATTATCACCTGTTTCGCTCAATGGAACACTACCTGCGTGATAAGAATTACGATAATGACGAAGGTCTCCGAAAAGACCTTGATATTTTTTTTGCCTCGAAAAATGAAGAATTTTACCACGATGGGATTAGTCAATTGCTCGATAGGTGGGAGAAGGTCATAGCTAATGATGCAAATTATTTCGATGATTGATGTTCTATTTGTTTGTTTTTTATGAATAAAACTCCGAAGCGAAAACTCCGACATTATTTACTAGCCAACCTAATATATAAGATATACATTCGGCTATAGACTTTTTGCGGTAATATTTCTGGAATTGTTCTAATGTTCTTCTATACTACAATCTTGAAAATTATTTATACAAAATCGCCGTTGATTTTTAGAAAGTCCATATATAAAATTGTCGAGGTTTTTCTGTTTTATAGAAAGTCGAATTTCCAAGAATCTAGAAAATCCTCCTTGATTTTCAAGAATCTTGGGAATTATTGATAGAAAATCGACAAGATTCTTAAAAATCAACATGAACTGAAAATCAACGGCGATTTTCTATAAATAATTTTCAAGATTACAGTGTAGATTTAAAAGTGATGTGATAAAAACCAGTCGATGAAGTTTTCTAATAACTCAGTCTTCTAGAGTAACAAAAGTTCGTCACAACAAAACAAAAAAGTGGGCGAAGTTTTCAAAACAAAAAAAACATAGTAAAACGTCATTTTTTAAGGCTTTTAGAATCGCTATTTACCAATTTTAATGGAATTTCCATATTCACGTCTTTTGATTAAAAACTGTTTCGGCTACTCAGATCACTTTTAATCTCTTAGGACTATCTCGGAGGAAAAAAGTCGAAAATACGAGGTGCTCTGAAGGATTGTCCAGAATTTGACCCAATATCTTTTTTAGTTCTATAATAGACTATCTATTTCGACGTTCAATATCTTTCTGGATATTTGACCTGTCTATCTTCTCGTTTTATTTTCTTATTCCTGTTATATGTTTAGATCCTTTAGAAACTTTTAATCTTTTACGCCCCTTAGTCTATATACAGTCAACGTGTGATCGATCGCAACTTGTACCTTACAAAATGACTAAAAGGCATATTCAGTTATCCATCACGATACTTTAGTTGCTTCTTCTCGCAACGAAAATGATCTCGAGACGAATTTTGTACTCCACCTTTTTCTGGGTGCTTCAAACTTTTGTTGCTCACTTTAGAGTGGTTCGTATGAGGAGGAAAGGGAGTAGCTAACTCTCTCGATTTTCTATCAATATTATTTTTCTCACAAAACTGTTTTTTGATAAATATTTCCAGTGCTTAAAAATAATCAATATTTTAACCCCTTCAGGACAAAAAACAATCGAGACCTTTGCTTAACCCTTTACCTTCGGATGGCCACAGGCGTTCATTTTTTTAGCCAAAATTCAACATTTTGACAAAAACACGGTCATATTCAGAATCAGGATCAAAAACTGGGTCGAATGACCTGGATCTCAGCGTCTTTCCTGGATCTTCAAAAAACTCCCCTTCGAGGATAAAGGGTTAAATGTATATTTAAACTTGTTTCTTCTGTTTGAATCGTTCATTGATTCATATAGTTAAGTTTTTGGATATACATACGATAGTGTTTTACCATTTTGAAAATTATTTTGAAGACTATGTATGTGCCAACTACAGCAACTTGTGCTACACAGCATGATGGATAAAAAATGATCTTATCTCATGTTTTATTTTAGTTCGAATGGGCTTGGCAAAATCCTGAACAATCAGTACGTTTAAAATATTTGGCATTATCAAATACAAAAAAATTTAGTTTAAAATTCAAATTAATGATATTATCGGAAATGTTATCAATTGGACCATGGACAAGATTACCATTAACTGGTAAAAACAAGGAGTTAATTGGCCCTGTTTAGTCGTTGTGGGTATATGCTGCTGATGCCTGTAAAGTCGATCACAAATGATGTCTTGACTGGGTAATGGGATGCGATATGAATTGTCAAAAGTGAGAAACACGCTTTTTTCTAAAACGAGTTTTTCTCTTAATTCAGTTGAGTATTTTGATTATGGATAAAATCCAGCTCCTCGCAGACATTAAGTCCTTTTGAAGTCATTTATTGCAATTTCAAAGGTACTACAAGACTGAGCAAAGGATGAGGAGTAAAATATCCAAATATTTGCAAATCTCAGTATATTTTGCCTGCAAAATCAAGACAGAATTTGATTTTTCACGCTTCTGCTGTATCCTCCACTCAAATTTCACGACATCATTTGTAAAATAACCGTTTTACTCAAGTTCTCTTCTCATCTTTTTTCTTCCTTATATTTTTAAACTTAGTGACGTGCCAATAATGCAAAATTAAAGCAAAATCTATTTTCGTTTTATTATACATGATTGAATAGAGCTCATAAGAAAAAGTGGTTTTAATTATTTAAAAAATCTGTTTGCGAAAGAAAAATGGAAAAAACTCAACTTTTTTTCTTTCTCGTGCTTCTAACTTTTTGAAAGCATCTTTTTCGCATTCAGCATTAAAAACTCAGTATGAGAATGATCCTTGATCGAGGTTGAAGTCAAAGGTCTATCCAGTATGAACGTTTTGAGCTCCCCTCTATAAAAAGTTTATAAACAATTTTGCAAACCTATCTACTTTTTTCTATGAAGAGATGGAACCGATTTTTTTCCTTCACTAGAACCGCTATTGAACGACGTTTAAAGATGTAAATGTTTGTTTTTTTCCATTTTTCTTTGTTTCCAAGAAAATTCATTTTTTCGGGATCAGGAGTGAAAGAAATCGTAATTCTCAATTTTCTTCGTCAGGACTCAAGTTTTATGCAACAAAAATATCATATTCGGAATCGGCGTCAAAAGACTACTCGGATGGTATAATTTAATAGTCTATCCGACTACTATGAGTTTTTTAATTTTCACGTAGAAAATTGCTGAGACTTTCACCAAAAAATGAAAATCAACGGAAACTTTCGAAATATATATCATTCGACTTAGTTTGTGACGAAACAGATTTTTTAAATAATTAAAACCACTTTTTCTTACTCAGCTCGATGAGCTCTATTCAATCATGTATAATAAAACGAAAATAGATTTTGCTTTAATTTTGCATTATCGGTACCTTAAGTAAGATATATTTGATTTTTGTTTTTAGTTCGTTGGTTACAAGGCGATTTGATGTCACAATTACCCAAATCTCCTCCAATTCATATGCCAATTACATATGGACCGATAAATGTATCAAAACAAACATCATCTGTTCCATCACGTAGAAAGAAGAAACACGATTCCGATAACAATCACCAAATCAATACAATCGTTGAATATTGTTCTATGTGTAAAAAAAACATGGACGTAAGTTTATTTAAATCGACGTTGTGAAGTAAAAGAATGCGCTAATTTAGTTCTTGATCAACGCGAAAGAATGATAGTAGCAGTTTAATTTGACCAAATACTTTTTAAAAAATCTTTTTTTAACAGGTTACCTCGAAATTAAATTGTCCAAAATGTTTAACGTCATTTCATATATTATGTTTATCGAGACATTTTCTTTCCAATGACACAAGACAAATGTTACCAATTGAAGGCACATGTCCTCAATGTTTAGATATTTTATTATGGGGAGAGATAATTCAATATAAATGGCAAATAATAGGTTATTCAACGAAAAATAAACAAAAGGAAGGGAAACAAAATAAGTGCTCAGATATTGATGACGAACACTAATAACATTTTATTTTTTTCTCTAAAAAATTATTTTCCTGGTATTGAATACATATTTTATTAAACACTAGTCAATCTTTATTATCTTTTTAATCTACTTTTGTTAAATAAATAGAATTTTCTTATACCGCACGTTTCGTTTACCTCGGAAAAAAATCTATAAATCTTTCTTAATCATCTATAAGAGGAGCTCGGCTATGCATCGTCAATTTATTTTGATTATCCAAGTTCGTAGTAATAAAATCATTGATGCGAAATATATAGCCTCTTATCAAGTTACCCTTCACTTTTTGTGTATTTTGTGCCATATCGCATAGAATATGAGAAACTCAATACAATTTCTGTTTTTTAGGATAAACCTTGGAGAATAAGACGATGAGTTTGTGGCTTTATCAGTTTTACTTTGCATACTAGAATATATCACTGAACGTTGAAGGTTCCACATGTTCTTGGTCGATACTTTTACCTATTGCGCGCTGTTCTATGTTCAAAGCATGTTTTGACGAAATAAATAATGAAACATTGTGACTCGTGACTACAACTCAGTAACAAACGACCTTAATATAAACACGTGAATGGGACGAACATATGCCAAAAGTAGACACGTGAAACATTTCTTTTGTTGTCCTCTTTATGTACGCGTCAACAGTCTTGTAGGTATGCTTGCAAGAATCTTGTAAAATATTTTACATGTATTTTTATTATAAGAATCTTGCAGAAAATAGAATAAAAAAGTCGACTAGTGTGTTTTAGAACAAACTGATATAGACAAAAAAAAATAAAATTTTCATGATAAATAAGCGTATAGTATAATTTATCATCAAATCTTTGAGAGAGACCATTAAAAATAGTAGAGCAACTTGATAACTCTCATTTCTCTGTTTCTTAAGAAAATGAAGGACGGTAATGTTTGCAAACACAAAACACTAGAGTTACTATTCTTTTTAAAAATGAATGAACGGTTAGTTTATTGTACAATTGTATCGAATAGGGTCATGCCGTTCTAATATATCACTACTATACCGTTGTTTACTCAAATTTTACAGAATACTGGCTCCACTTACGATCACAGAATACATGGAAAGTTTAAAATCAATTACATTTGTTAAGAGGAAAGTATGTAAATGACCTTGTTCCAGGTTCTTTCTAGTATAAATAAATTACGGTCATTATAACATTTACAAAATTTTTTTCTCATATATAAGAGATGAGTGTGAAAAGGAGACCAGGTAGATTTTCTTCTAGAAAATTTATATTATTATTTATTCTCAAGCAATCTCAACAAATCTCAAACAAAATAGAGAGCGATTCTCTGAATCGAGGAATTTTATATGCCCTTGACTTTGTGTACAATTCAGGTGAGATGAGCAGTATATTGTAGAATAAAGAAAGTCAGTTGGGATCGAAAACCTCGACTCAAAGTTTATTCTTTTCACAATTGTGTAACACATGTTACATTGAATAGAAATGAGTTTGGGACTCAATTCTACTTGAAGAATTGAAATGAGTTTAAGAAATCAATTATTGGTTGAGTATACTTTTCGATATTGGCAATTGCGAAGTTCAGAATCACTCGCTCATCTTAGACCTTAGAAATACTTAGCCATTCATTAGATTCCCCATTAATTATATACAATTCTCATCTCTTTCTTCAGGATAATATACATATATATATATTTAGCAAATATTTAGTAGACACAGTGGTATAAGAGCAAACAGTTACTCAGTCAGTCATGCCAACGAAATAGTTGAAAGACATTAGTTAAACAGTTTAACTTTTTTGTATCTGTAGTAGAAATACTAGAAGATGTTGACTTGGTTCTTTTTAAATAAGATAATAATGGTTTAGTTTTATTCGTTGTATGTCGTTGTTCTATTGTATCATCCATTTTTAATAATAAAATTTTTTGATCGAATATAACTGGAAAATAGTCTAATGTAAAATGTGAGGGATGAAAATTAATAATTGCACCACGTTGATATGAATATAATTTAAATGTATCATTTTTTTTTGGCGGTAAATGATAATTTAATAAATTTCTCAAATGTTTAATTGTATCGTCGGATTGTATAGTAAATGTCATTCGACTTCCATCAGATAGACGTTCAACTGTAATAGTTATGATCTTTCTAAAGAGGAAAAAAAAACATTTTATTGTAGAATCCATATTTTCCTTCCACATTTTCCGGTAGCTGTTGAAATATATTATTTTTTTTGTCAAAGACTCTTATTTTTACAAGTGTAAATTCATGTCATGCTAACATATACGCATTAATCAGGGATAGATAAGAAGAAAAAAATTAAAAATAAAGATGCATCTAGGAAATATTTCTCAAAGGTTATGATAACCTTTTATATTTTAGAACAATATATACTGTAATATAAATAAATAAGAATATAATTTACATACTCACAAATAGATAAATTATCATCAAAAAAAAAACAAATAAAAAATTGTCTTATACTACATGATCATGTAAATCATTAGACCATGATTTTACGTGCTATGTGTAGACTTTTTTCCTATAAATTCAACGCAGAAATATGTGAATTTTCACTTCTATTATCTGCATAAATTATTCTTATGGGAATTATAAATTATATTTTTTCGTTATTAGATACTTACACATTAGATTTCGTTTGTTTTCTCATCGTTGTTACTGTTGTTTTAAAAAGTTGTGCAGTGTTTGTACGAGTTTGAAGCAATATTTTTTCTTTGTTCTAATATCAGTTTGGCATTACGATCATATGTTTCGAATGCTAATTTGTCGTCTTATTTTTCTGACAATACTTCAATGAAAATAAATACAGGTCTGGGAAAACGCAAGAAAAAAAATATATATATTAATAAGAATAGTGTGTGTGTATATCTAAAACGAAGTCAGCGTCCGCTTGCTTTTTATTTCTTTTATAGTAACTAATAAAGCGAACCGAAGAAAAATAGAGCTTTTTTTCCGATAGAGTCATAATGACATACACGATAGAGAGAAAAGGGAGTGGAGAAAGGCAATAGTCTAAAAAAAACTATAGTTCACTCATAATGGATAAAATAATTTTTTCAATCTTTTTTTTTTTTTTTTTTTTTTCGATTTCAGATATTCTGAAATAAAAAATTATAAAAAATAAACTGTGTGAACTTTTATCATTCTTTGTACCATTTTAAATTAAAAAGTAGACAAATTAAAGTGAAAGAGAAAAAATAAAAATAAATAAGCGTTACCTTCAAATAAGTAAAAAGAGCAAAAGAAAATTCTTGACAGCATATTATTATATAAAAGGTTTGAAATAACCTACTATAATGATTAGAATAGTATTATATTTGTTCTTTTCTCATTTTTTTTTTCTGCGAAAAGTGTATTCGAGTAGTCTGTTGGTTTTATTCAAATATATGTAGAAGAAGAAGAAGAAAAAAAAAACAATTGTAACGACAGTAGTACTAGTACTTCTCATTTTGTTTACTACTGCTACTGTCAACTTGACACAGTAATGAGAAAAAATAAATTTTTGAAAACACAAACTAAGATGTACTATGATGAAATGTAGATGAAATAAATATAGTGAAATTGCACATTATATGACTATGTTTAACACAACTCTTTCCTCATCATGATGCAGTAAGCATTGTTCTAAATCTAAACTAGAAAGTACAACACATAAAAGTCAGTTAATTATCAATTTGCAAAAATCTAGTGCGTTATATCCATTTTGTTTTATTAAAATGTTTTAACAATTCTATGTGGAATCGTGTCATACGTGCTGTTTTATAAATTGTACTATATTCTACAAAAATACGTTCTTTCTAGATTCTAATTATCGAATAATTTTTCCATTATAATAACAGGACAATGATCATCAATTGAGTTTACAGCATGTGTATCTTATACCTCTTATATTTTTTACTTTATATCTGAATCATGTTAAAAATATATCCATTTCTACAAATAACACATTCCTTTTGCTCTAATATTTTCTTTTCTTTCTTTTATTAGCATTATATAATTATCGTAGACTAAGCCACTTTTAATATATAGATATCATCGTTTGATGACACCAAAATATGACCTTCTCAGTTCAACTTGACTCTTTATTGATAATGAAGATATGTATGAGTCATATAGAGCAATGTAATAAATATTTTATATAAAGTGTAATTGAATCTCTTTCACACTTACAGTCGCATAAGCTGAAACTCGTTTTGAATGAATGGCTTATATTTAGAATTCAGAAGTTAAAAAATATTTCGAAACATCAATATCATACATAGAAAATTTTCAGTTTGTTCTAGAATAGTAGTTTCATTTCATATTGAAGACAGTTCAAATTTAATATAGTACCTTTTTGTTGTTTTTCTCTTTATTTTTTTATTATTTGTTTGTTTCTTAGTTTTCTTGCTCATAGAAGATAATAGTAGATTTTTATTATAAGAAATACTTTTTCAGCTTTGCGATTAAATGAATGATGACTTTAGCTATTTTCGTATAAAAATAGAATTACTTTTGCTCATAAAGTAAAATTTCGATTCAGTTTGAGTAATTATTCACGTGTTGAAAAAATTGTTAATATCCATGAACGAAGATTTAATAACCTCTTTTTCGTAATGTATAAGTAATCGACAAACATTCGCGGTCACCTTGATCACATATGTTGAGAGTCTTCTGAAGCACTTCGATCGTAAAGTTGATTACCATATAAACTCTATGTTTTACTCTATCTAGGTTTTTTCTTTTTCTACCTATTTCTTGATTTCTATAACAACGATGACTTAATCATAGGTGTTTCTATTCATTTGATGTTATTGATGCTGATCCGTGAAGCGTATTGAAGTAAATAAGTAGCAAAAATTCATGTCTTCTACACCAAAATTTGAGGTTTACATGTCTTGCAAAATATTTGCGAAGGATGTTTTTTTCTTTCACATATATTTGAATAAAATCAACATACTACATGAACCACGTCTACGGCTGGACCTGGATTTATGATCTGGCAAGTCTAGGGTTAAACGTGTAAGACAGCATGCATAGTCTTAATTTCTGAGCAGTTAGAGGCAACAAGCAAGTTAGAGGTGAACCTAGACCTGTCTCTTTCGGATCTGAACTTGAAGCTTTGACTTGGACTTGGAGAAATGTTGAGGATTGTAATGAAGAAAATGACCTTTAATGAACTAACATTAAAGTTTTGACTTTAAGTATTAGAATCCTATAGTTTTTCATATCATGACTTTAGAAATTCATACACTGAAGTAATTAAGCTTACATTATACTCACTTATCACATTACTTAACCGAGTATTAGCAGTTTAGCTGAATGTTATGATGCCTTTTTTTTAGAGAGTAGTATGAGTATTTCAAAATAAGTTTTAAAATCCAAGTCCGATAGAGACAGGTCCATTTTTTAGATTCAGGTCCCACTGAGACACGTCCCAGTCATAGATCAAGTTCGTTGGACCTGATCTGGATCTGATAATCTCTACGTCAACTTAGATATTTTAGACATCGTTTCATTCGACAGAGCGCAAAATAATTGAACATAATCTGGTTTTACTCACGAACAGCATGATAATTCATTGTGAAATAATTCAAAATTTTCTTCTTTCTTCTTTGATTAACAGCAAAATTGACTACAGTTACTAATAATTTATCAGTTCTAGTAGATGACAATGATAAGTTGGAAGAAAAAGTATCTATTCTTTTAAATATTTTTAGTCTTCTCAATAAATCATCGAAAGACAGTGAGACGTTCAAACTATATTTTATGCATGAATTATATTACAACGAAAATCTTCTTATTGTTTTAGTTGATAAGTCATGATTAATACCAGAAAAAAATGTCAATGATATTCAAATTTTTGAATCGAGGGGGAGATTGTTTAGTTAATGATAAAGATAATATTTTATATACGCGAGACTTTTTTATTTGGAAAAAAACAGTAATGAAATTTGTTTTTAAAATGAATGCTAGTCGAATTGTAGGAAAATATCTCTTGTTTTAGTTTATCGTATAGAAACATATTCTTAACTTTTTAATCTAATTCGTTCACACAAACTGTAACAGTTATTCAAAGTAAAATAATAACAACAGTAGACTACTAAGGTAAAAATAAATTAAGATGCCTTTAATATTATTTGTGTTAGAAAATTTACTATTAACAATAATCACAAGTATAAAAATTGACATGGCACTTTAAGGTAAAAGTAAGGTTAGACTGTACTTTACTTTTGATAAAAGCAAAATATTTTTTGTTTACTATTTACTTTAGTAAAGTAAGTTTCTACTCTACTTTTAATTGTGAAAGAGTAAAATTTCAACTTTGCTTTACCTGGTAGAGTACGGCAGGCATAACAAATAAAGTATGGACGATGTACACGATGTGTAATACAGTTATCAAGTAAACATAGCACATCTATTATATAATTCAGTAGGATATGATGACCCTCTACTAACCAACCAGTGGTCTCCTCTAAATCTGATAGAACCAGCAATGTTGGTAAATACCTGCATATCTGTTGACAATGTAAAATGGATATGGAGAGCAACGAAACATCAATTCATACTATAAAAAATTTAGGCTACATTCGAAGTTCAGATCTAGAAGTTTTAGACAAATATAAATGATTGGTAAAGTAGCAAAAGGTCGACAGACAAATGTCGATAAAAGAAAAATGTCGACGTAGAAAAACATCGACATGGAAAAATGTCGACCGTGCAAAATGTCGAGAGTGCAGAATGTTGAAAAAAATAACAAAATTGAACTGTGATCAAATTATATCCGGCCTTTCCTAGCTGATTTCTAGAAACATCGAAAATCCCCAAATCTTTTTCTAAATAAGTTACAATTGTAGCCCGCGAAATTCTGTTCAAAATGAGACTCCCAGCTCTACACGATCTTTCTTTGCAAAGTTATCGAATTTACAAGGAAAGCCTTAAATTTATTTTTCCATTTTCTTTCTATAGCTCAGATGACGATGAACATTTAAGGCTTTTCTTGTAAACTCTATAACTTTGCAAAGAAAGGTCGTGTAGAGCTGGAAGATGTCTCATATTGATCAGAATTTCACGGGCTACAGTCGTGACTTATTTAGAAAAAGTTTTGGGGATTTTTCGAGGTTTCTGGAAAACTAGTTTTCTAGAAATTGGCTAGAAAAGGACCATGAACCCAAATGAATATCATATTCGAAATCAGCATGGTCGATTTCCTACAACTCACTACATTTCGTTAAAAAAACGAGTATATTTGGAGAGGTTCCCTCATTAGCTTTATTTGTTTTATTGGAAGGCCCAAACTAGCGGTAAAAACCGTCATTTTTTGAATCATTTGGCGAACAATAATGAAACTCGTCTGTCCTCAATTTTAACTGAAGCTATTCAGGGCCCAAGCAATAACTATTTCGGCTCTTCTCTTACACAAAATCAGAGCAAATATTACTACTTCGCCTTCGGATTTTACAATAAAACATTTGTACTTCGACATTTTTTCTGTCGCCATTTTCATTGTCCTCCACATATAGGCATGCACCAGCTACAGTTAACTGTAAAACTATAACTGTTATAACTGTAAAACTATAACTGTTATAACTGTAAAACTATAACTATCATAATTGTTCCGAAGATAGTTCAGAATGAGTTATCGTTGTACTATTAGCATAGGTTTCAGAGTAAGACAAAAAAAGGACATATATTTAGCTTTT